ACTCCGACGAAACAGCTTGTCACAGCCCCTCGTTTGTTGTCCTCTTCTCTCTCTCTGCCTACGGTTTACCGGGCAGTTCTGTTTGTGACGATATATATATATATATACAGTGCCGGCAGGATTCGAAGGCATAACCTCTTGGTGAATAGTTCAACCAGGAGACAATTGTGAGCCGTTGACCTTGTGACCCGTTGACCTTGTGACTCGTTGACTTCGTGACTCGTTGGCACCCTGGCCAGGTAAGCTATATCCTCCCGGCCTCTCTATCCCTATCCCCGTTCCTTCTCTTTTCCCTCTGTCTTCTCCCCCTGCTGTCCCTGTTGCGTTGAGTTAAGCCTCCTTTTCCTCGTCTTCCTCGTCCTCGTGCTCATCCTCGTCCTCGTCCTCCTCCTACACCTTCTTCCTCCTCTCCCTCCTCCTCCTCTTCTTTCTTCCCCTCCTCCTACACGCTTCGCTCCGTTTTATTGCTGACGTCAAATAAAATGCCATCTTTCAGACTACCCTCAAAGCCGCTACCTATCGGGGAAACAAAAAAAACAAAAAAACAAAAGCCGCTAGCTGAACACGTCGAAGGCGCTTCCTCCCACGCTGAAGGAGACTGTCATTTTCATTTGATCTTTTTCTTTTTTAACACATATCCTAACGGACTTATTCTCATTTCAGTTACTTTTCCTTAAGAGAATATAAATTTGAGACCGGGTAACGGAGAGAGCAGAAAGGAAGCGACAAACACCAAAAATTGGAGTTCTGCAAGGACGGAGGGAGGGAGGGAGGGAGGGAGGGAGGGCCTTAATGAAAATGAAATTGGGTGAGCTTGCAAACATGTGCTGTGGGTGCAGCTTTAGCAACGGCGGCTTCGTCGTCCGCTAACATATACAACAACAATAATTTAATACGAAGTACAAAACTACGCGAATGCATGGATGCACGTATGGAAGGCCAGTCGTCGTCATGCATGCATACATGCACGTATGGAAGGCCAGTCGTCGTCATGCATGCATACATGCACGTATGGAAGGCCAGTCGTCGTCATGCATGCATACATGCACGTATGGAA